ATCTGGACTCTGCCACTCACCAGTGGGGGGAAACTGGCAAGGAATTGAACTTTTCTGAGCTTCAGTTTCCTTACCTGGAAAATGGAACTAGTAATACTTTCTTCCACAGGGGTTTGTAGAACCTTAATTAAGATAATGGTTGTAATACACTTAGTTCAGTTGGTTTGGTACATGGTAAGCCCTAAGAAATGGGTGGCTCTTTAAGTGATGCTCCATCCTGTGGCTTATCAGGAAAAAAGATAAGATCACTGATAAGGAAACACCTTTGGATGGAAAGGGGGCTTGAGGCAAGAGCTGAGGACTTAGCTTTAATTCACACTCTGCCACTGCTAAACTGATTTACTCTGGACAAGTCATTTCATCTTCCCAGCTCTTTAACCCTCTGTTAAACCACAGCACTGGCAATCACCATCACCATCACCGCTACCACCATCCCCCAGAGACCAGAGAAGCCAAGTCCTGCTGCGCCCGGAGTTGAGGACACAGGTGTGCTGAGGGTGGGCCACAGGCATTCGTCCCAACAATTATCTTATACTGTTTGTCAGGAAGGAAGATCACTTGAATGAGGCAAGATTTGGGGAGGAATTTCTGAGATGAGATTGGAAGCCAAGCTACTGGGAACTCAGGGGCCTGAGTAAATACTTGTGTAAAATCGGACTTCACTGTTTCCACAAACAGTAACCAAAGTGCTGGGGAACTTTGTCGGCTCACATTTCATCACAGGCTGGTCGTGGAGTGCGGGGCGTGTCGATTTCAGATGCTTTCATTAAGTCTCGTTCTCTGGGCCAGTGAGACATCTCTTCCTTCCTATGAGGGCCATTTGGTGATTTCTGCCAACGTCACAACCCATAGTTCGTGCCGACGCTATGAGGAGCACTTAGGACGGGCTGCAGGCCTGCGGCTCCCGATGGGAAGGCTCTGGGCAGTATCTGTGCCAGCCTGGCCGTACCAGGGCAAATAACACCATACGAGGAGAACTGCCTCTCGACAGGTGTCTGACTTGGGCCAGACACCGTGCCGACCACCATACCTACACTTTGTCACTGAATCCTTACAAAAATCCTTACAACAATCCTGTAGGTGATTTTACCTTTATGATAGAAGAAGACAGAATTCAGTAGGCCCAGAGGGGAACATTAGGACCTGAGGTTCCTGGGTGGGGAAAAACATCTATTTTGGAATAATGCTGGGAGTGTCTGACCACAGCAAACTTCCTCAAGCATAAGGTTCCTCTTAAGAATGTGACAGATCTCACCCATTCCCCCTCAGGCTTCCCTCAGGAATTTTACAAAAGACCCAAGCATGGCCTTAGGCCACCACTCATACGGTGGAACTGAGCCAATCAGGAATGGACCACCCAGCACCTAGAGCTATTAGGCCAATAAGGGTGGGACCTGAGAGGGAACAGGGGGTAGGGGAAGGCTGACCAAAACCTTATGACAAGGACCCTTGCCTACTGTCACAGGCATTCACATCCTAACGTGCACCCTCTGTAAAGAGAGCTTTCCTACTATTCTTTCTTCCTGATCTTATACTCTAATAAAATTTTGCCAATGCGATGCTCATTTTGTGTCCACCTCTTCGTTCTTTGAGGGAGCAAGACAATGAATCCCACATACTGTGGTAAAGAGTCCTGCAACACCTTGAAGGAAACTAACTGCAACTTGCTGCAGCCATCGTACTAGCGGGGAGCAGATTTTCTCAAAGTCCAGTGCCTGTCCCACCACCATGAGGCTAATTCCCCTAGCGCAGAGGAGGTCCCTCAGCTCCAGCACCACTCAGTCAATAAGGCATCTCTTGCTTTGCTTCATGGCCAACACTCAACAGCTTTCAAACAGCTTCCACTCAGTGCAAGTGCCCTTGGAAGGGAGGTAGGAGAAAGATACCAAGTGCTCACTCTATCTAGGCACTCTTCTATGTGCGTGCACACATTGTATAATTTAATGGTCACATAACCTTTGAGGTAGACACTGTTATTATCCCATTTTCAGATAAGGAAGCTGAAGTCAAGAAAAGCCAGTACCTTAGCACATGGCAGAGCCAGGACTGAGCTCAGGCAGGTACTGCCTATACAAAGCAGGGTTGCAAGAGAGAAAACCACCTTCAAAGTGCTTCCACTAGACTTCAGACTGGTTTCTGGAGGGGAGGTGACCGCTGAGGAGGAACAGTGGCCTGTGGAGAGGCAGCACAGAATACCAGGAAGCGGGCTGGGCCTGGGCTCCCAGGCTGAACTTGGGCTGCCAGCCTCATAGGGCACCAGCGTGCCTTAGGCAAGTCTGCAACCCCCTGAGCCTCAAGGTAAGAATGGGGATGATGTCATAGCTGGCCACCCTGCCTACGGGGCTGTTGTCCTGTGTGTGTGTGTGTGTGTGTGTGTGTGTGTGTGTGTGTGTGTATGAGAGAGAGACAGAGACAGAGACAGAGAAATATCTCTGTATGCTGTGAAGTACTCGGCAAACACAAATTGTTATTTGCTATCGCCAGGGGAGACGGTACTTTTGAAGCCATCTTTGAAATTCCTGGCCTGGTGGCAGTCGTGACACTGTTTCAGTCAGCTGCAGGTTAGAGATTTACAAACTATAATCCACGTTTCTGAAAGGGCATATTTCTTCTTGCCTCTATCAAATGTCTTCATTAATATCGAGGGCTCTCATCAATGGCTGTTTTAATCATAATTGTAATAGCAGCTAACATTTACTGAGCCCATATTACGAGCTGAGTAGCATGATAAGTGAGTTTTTAATAACATCTTAAACAATTCACCACATAATAATTTTCCAAATAGTAACCCCAGAAGGTAGGTCCTGTTAACCACCTCCATTTTACAGCATAGGGAGGTGAAGGAACTTGCCCGAAGCTAGAACTAGTACATAGGGGGGTCGGCGTTTGGACCAAGGTTTGCTGGGATCAGGGACGCTTCTCATCACTCCTCTGACCGTGCGCAAGAGGCCACACACAACTGACACCAGCTATGGGGAGCGATGTACACACGGTGGAGGAAGACAAACCCTCACGATTCTATTTAAAGTCCCTTCCAGTGGGTCTGCTGTCTCCTTTTATGGGACCAACTGAAGAATACTTAGTGATCTCACTCAAAGTTACACCTACCTCTGTGAAAGGCTGTGGCGTTTCATCAGGGATTAACAATGCATGGACACTTATATACCTATCATAAATTAGCTTTGTGGCCACATAACAAACAATACAACCCAGTGTAGCTTTGAGAGGACCATTTATTATATCGCTATAAACAGAGCTATATAAAAAGAATTATTCCTAAGACCCTGTGCATCTGCGTTTGCAATCACGTCTTAACACGAGCTTTGCAAACGAGGATAAAAAGTCCAGTTTAGACTGCATACTGAACATCAATTCTCCATTCAAGGGGGCAAGGTAGTTCAAAGTATTCCAGAGGCACAAAGGCTGCATGGATCTCATTTTTGCCAAAGGTCCTCAACCATCTTTCCTGATCACAAAGGGGACTGCTAACACACAACATGATAAGCTCATTTGGGCTTCCCGTCGTTTAAACCGTGTGGTGTGGTAGAGAAAGCGATTTAAGTAAAAAAACAAAAACAAAAACAAAAACAAAAACAAAAACCATAGCTAGAGATGCTGCCACTTTTTAGCTGTGTGTCCTTGGGTAGGATTACTTAAAAATTTTCTGTGCCTGAGCTTCTCCATCAGTTTATTTCTCTTCATTTGTTTCTTTGTCGTCTCCACTCCCTTCATCCTTCAATGCAAGTGTGACAAACATGGGGACTTTCTTATCTCTTTATATCTCTGATTAGAAGAGTCCCTAGTACACAGTAGGTGTTCAAAGGTATTCATTGAGTAAAGTATTCTGTAAATCAGTCACACAGGGGCGATGATACCTTTCTCACGGGGTTTTCACGTGTCCACTGTTTATTTTTTAAAGTTTCTTTATTTTTGAGACAGAGAGAGTGAGCAGGGGAGGGGCAGAGAGAGAGGGAGAGAGAGAGAGAGAGAGTCCCTCCGCTGATAGCGTGGAGCCTGAAGCAGGGCTTGAACTCACGAATCATGAGATAATGACCTGAGCTGAAATCAAGAGTCAGACACTCCACTGACTGAGCCACCCAGGCGCTCCATGTGTCCACTGTTTAAATGAGATATTAAAAGTGAACACACCTGCCATGTACCAAAACTGTGCTAGGTAATTCACAAATTGCCATTTAATCATCATTTTGAGAGGGTCTATGCTTAATTGATTGAGCCACCCAGGCACCCCAAGGGTCTAAAAAATCATAAAGTGCTTACAGACAGAAGGGTGCCAATAGAATTATCCTTTGGAGGTTATATGTATAAACCCTGTATATATGAACCAAACAGTAAAACCAAAAACACATTTAATCATGCATTCATTATCCATTCATCAATATTTATTGAGCAGCTGTAGTGAGCCAGGCCTGTGCTGAGTCCTGGGCATGTAGGGTGAATAGACATGTTTGTTATCTTCATGGAACTTACGGGCTAGCAGGGGATCTGGCCACAATGGCAAGTAGGGACTAGGTCACAGAAAACCTTAAATACTACTGAGTTCAGACTTCATTCTGAAGAACGGGTGAAACTAAAGGGTTCGGCAGCTGGGACCTGAGTCCTTTAAAGCCCCATCCCTGCAGATCTCACCAGGCATGCTGTTCCCCATGGCCCTGCCTCTAGGGATGACCACCATAACATGGGAGATGAGATTTCAATCTATTACTGTAATTCACATGGTTACAGGGCAAGGGTTTGACTCTGGGTTTAAGCGATGTGAAGATTAATTTCTGAATCCTCTGCCCATCTAAAAGTACGGGTGCCGAAGGATGGAGTTCAGGGAAAGAAGAAAAGCACGCAGAGATGTGGGTCACCCCACTAATACATGACAGAGAATAGGGTCAGACCACTAATACTGACAGAGAATAGGGCACGAACCGTGAACATGTTACAGCGGAAAGCCCCTTCCTCCAGCCACGCTGTGCCCTTCTCCCCACACTCACCAATGGAACAGTCGTGTCCAGTCCAGCTTGGGTCACAGCTGCAAAGGCCGGTGTCTGGGAAGAAGGTTCCGTGGCCTGAACACTGGTCCAAGCACGTGGCTCTGGGCGTCTCACAGTTGGTGCCTCCCCATCCCACGGAACAGTGGCACTCGCCTCTCACGCAGACACCCCGGCCTGAACACGTGGGGTCCATGCAGTCCACTGTGACACAAAGCAAAGGGAACACAGGTGAGCATCTGATCAGCAAAGGTGAGGCTTCTTTAAGTGAACTACTACACTTTGTAGTAGAAGGGCTTGGTAAGAGGACACAGATCTCCTGAGGACAGGCCACTTGATACAGTAAAGAGGAAGGATTTTAGCAACTGGTAGACCTGGGTTCTCGGCTCTATGGGTGGCTGACTGTTTACCAGTCAGAGGCTCGGTTCCCTTGCCTGTAAAAGGTGGATACAGATCTCTAACTTCTCGGTTTGTTGGGGTGATGGAGTAAGAAATAAGTAAGACGGGTGCCTGGCTGGCTCGTTCAGTAGAGCATGTGACTCTTGATCTCAGGGTTGTGAGTTCAAGACCCAGCATGTGACCTCTCGATCTCAGGGTTGTGAGTTCAAGCCCCAAGTTGGCAGTGGAGTCTACTTAAAAAAAAAAAAAAAAAAAAAAAAAAAAAAAAAAAAAAAAGAAATATTTATCAAGTGTTAGCATGGTGCCCCGTGCCTGCTACGTCTGTAATAACTACACCAGTTAGCGGACAAGACGTTGTTTTGTTCACTTCTGTGTATCCACCTCCTAGAACAGTGCTTAGCACATAGGTCCTCAAGAAATCTTTGTCAAATAAACTAATACTGTTTACCACTTCATAATACAGTCTTAACATGAATGTGGGACTAAAAGAGATTCCTTAATTTAAAAGAGAATTTATTTTGCACTTAAATTCCATTAGATTTTATCATCTTGCCAAAGTTCTTGTGACTGACACAAACTTTCAAACCTCACTTTCCAGAGGGCAAACATTTCAACGACTATTCAAAATTACATGTGGGAGCTTTGCACAGATTCTCCTCATGTAGTGGGTGAACTATATAGCTGTAGCTCACAGCCAGGCAACCCCTGCTGGGCTATTAAAGCCTAAGGTCAAAGTGGTCTCAAGAGATCAAACCAGGAAGAGAGAAAGGAGAATAACATTATGGGTGACCTGCTCCGTGCCCACACTCTAGGAAGTGCTTTACATATAATATCAGATTCAGTTTCTTCCATAACCCAGCGAGGTACAGATGAGGAAATTGAGGCTCACAGAGGCAAATAATTTAAGCCAAATCATACAGTTAACCCTGCCAGAGAGGAATCTGAAGGCGCGTCTGTCTGATTCTGAAGCCAATATTTGTTCCTGCGGCTGGTTTTCCTAAATCAAAGCTTTAGCTATGGGACTACGCAAAGTTAACAGAGACCTCTAATCTTCCAGAAAGCACTGCACAGAAAAAACAAAAGGAGAGTAGGCAAAGGTTGGTCCAACGTTATGAAAAAGTTGTTGGATCTTTTATTTTAGGAAGGCAGGAGATTCCACTCCTCTTGCAACTGTAAGGGACAGTGGTGTCCTGGCAGGGGGTGCTGTGATGGGTGTGGTCAGCTTCCTCCTGGAAGGAGCTCATGAGGAAGCCCTATCTATGCTCCACAGGAAGGAACCTGGCATCCGGCCTCTGAGGCCCTACGTCATGGTTCCATGACCCGTGTCAAGTCCTGTACCTCCTCTGAAATTCCCATGTCAAAACTATCGACACCTCGGTCGCTAATGAGGACACCGAGGATTTGAAAGGACTGTGTGAACTGTAAACTGGTGGCAAGAAGTTACTTTTCCATCCTGTCAGGATATTCAGCAGTGTGACGTGGACAGACTGATCAGAGGTGCTTTTACTTTATTCATTTATAATTCAGACAAGATTTTTGTTCATTTAGGAATTAAATTTCTTTTTTTTTTTTTAATTTTTTTTTTTAATGTTTATTTATTTTTGAGACAGAGAGAGACAGAGCATGAACGGGGGAGGGTCAGAGAGAGAGGGAGACACAGAATCCGAAACAGGCTCCAGGCTCTGAGCTGTCAGCCCAGAGCCCGATGCGGGGCTCGAACTCACTGACCGTGAGATCATGACCCGAGCCGAAGTCGGACGCTTAACCGACAGCCACCCAGGTGCCCCTACGAATTAAATTTCATAACCCCACATATTTGACTTTGGTGCAAAAGACTGAGAAGCCTGGCCTGCGGATGTTAAGGGTCAGACACAAATGGACAGAGACTGTACAAACGGCTACCTTCTGGGAACAGAATGTCTGTTTGAGGACCAGCTTATCAAGACAGTTCTTTTACTTTATAGGTTTTGAAAAGGGATTTCACCTTACTGGCCTAAATGAGAAATCAGAAAGTCAGAAGCGAGGAGCAATCATTTGCTAAAAAACAGAGTTATGAGAACAAGAGCAACAACAATAATAACAACCAGTATTGAGGTAGTCCTTCTTCTGGGCCATATTTTGCTATTAACCTTCTATATACATTATGTCATTTAACTTTAGCCACAATTCTTTGAGGTAGATACCATTACTATCCCCATTTCACAGAGGAGGAAATTAAAGCACAGAGAGGTTGAATAACTTGCCCAAGATCACACAGGGTAAGTGGAGGGATTTACATTGGAATCACTCTTTCTTGGTACACATCTCTTGCTATTTCCTCTGTAATCTTACTGGTTCAAGAATATACACATACGTGTATATGGACATAAGTGGTCAAAACACAGAAACAAAACCAAAATAAAACAAGAAAAGAAACAGAACAAAGTGGAGAATTAATAAAGCCAAACGAAGGCAAAGAATCTTCTCTTGCAGTCTCTGCACACTACTTAACAATGGTTAAAGCATGACCTGTTGGAGTTCCTGGTAATTAAAAATCATAAAAATAATAATAGTGATATATTTTCATGACTAGCCTCACATCTCAGAACCTCAGAAGGATTATTCTGGCCCATTAGGCTACTATGGTAATTCCCTAGATCCAGAGAGCTTTCCAATTTGACAGGAAACGACTCAGCAATTCCTATCCCGAGGCCTATAAAGGTATTTCCCGTTCTGCGAGCGCCTGGGCCCAGGCTTCGGGTGGAAGCAGCCTCCGAGGCGCCCTCGAGGTTGAATCTATAAATCTGCGCTGTTAGCGAGCGAGCAAGCCGGGAGGGCGCCAAGTTTAGCAAGAGGCCCTTGGCGTCACGGCCCCATTCCTCAGACACAATAAGTCTGACAGGGACCCAGGAACCAGCAAAACCAATCCCACGCTCTCAGATGGTCCGGGCGGGGACGAAGGCACTGCTGAAAGGACTACCTCCAGGCAGTAGTCACTGCTTCTGAAGGTCCACCTGGAAAAGTGGGTGGGGCGTGTGAGGGGAGTTTCGAGGAGGACGGAACCTCCAGGAAAGGCCTTTTGGCTGAACTGGCCGAACTCCCTGCAGGGAAGACAACGTCCACAGCCATGATCTGTGCCACCAGCATGCTCTGCCAGAGATGTCCTCTGTAGACTCTGGATCTGCTCTCGCTTTCTGGGGCCTCTGGTTGATGAGAACCCTCGGGTGGGATTAAAGTTGTCTTCTTTCTATCCCACCAGGGCAGTTTCACAAATGACGCTTATTTCCCTGGGAGCGGTGGGTGTCACGGGAAGAGCCAGCTGGCCAGGGGTTAGGGAGGTCTGTGCCAAAGGAGCAGGGGAGAAGTTGGCAGGGAAGTGGGCTGAACTTTGTGTGGAAGACAGTCTAACTCAGTGTCCGCTTGGAAGAGGGGCCAAACGGTACATTTGTTCTCCTCTGCAGAGCTTGGCATTCAAGCCAACATTTCTGGCAGAAGCTTAGCCCATTAATGAAATGATGAGGCCTGCACGAGCTGCAAACACAACTCTTCCCCTAACACGGTCCCCGCTTCAGTGACCACACCAGCCATTAGCCGCTCTTCAGGACCACAACACAGTGTCTCACTCTGCCCGGCAAAAGGCCTGGGGTGGTCTCTTCTGCCCCTCCCCCAACTCCCTCCAAGCGTCCTGTCGGCGCGGTTTTAAAAAAAATAGGGGGCAATAAACCTCAGAAGGAGGAGAGAGGGGAGAAAATAAGCTTGTTAGCTGATGTTTTATAAACACAGTGAAAGGGAGGAGGAGAGAGAGCAGCGGGGAGTGGGGGGCAGGGGGGGAAGGGCAGGGAAGACCCCGAGAAGCCCCCATTATAAACACAAGGACGTTGCAATGACGCTTCAGCAGAGAAACAGAGATAATAAAGGGAATCAGAACCAGATGGCCCTCCTCAGGAAAGAAAGGAGTGAAAACGCTTCTTTTCGAATAGATCACGTACATCAAAGAGCTTAACAACCTTTTCTCCCTCTTTGTAAGTAACCCTGCCTGCTGGGGCACTGCCCAGTGCCAGCTGAGCCGGAGGTAGGTCTGCCTCCTTGGCCCACAGAACAGGGTGGGGTTGGGGGAGGGGGGCGGCCCCACAGCCTCAAGAGGAATCTCTTTGTTTTTCTTTTCTTCTCGGGGTCTTCACCTCAAGTGGCTAAAATGAGAAGGGAAAGCAGATGAAGGTCACCGTTGTCAGGACGAGAAAGTGAAGTTGCTTTCTTCCTGAGGCTGGCGCTCCTCCTCTCTCAGACGGCCCAAAGTAATCCCCAATCCAAGTTAATAGGTCTGAATCGGGACCCCCAGGCACACTTGGGGTTTACAGGCAGCCTGTCTCCAAGAGGCACTGGTTTTCAGACACTAATCCCTTCCTGTTCCCCGCTCCTTTAAAGTGGGCCTATTCTACCGGCTCTCCTTTGCTTGCTTCTTTTTTAAGAGAAATGATACCTTGAGAGGGGCCTGTGTGTTAAATCCCAAATGGGTTAGAAGGCCAGCTCTCCTTGGAGCCTCCTCCATCCACGGAAGAAGATGCCAGCACCCTAGATGGTGGGCAGTGGGAGTGAGGGCCGTTAGCTTTGTCCACCAGTTTCAACAGCGACATCCCCCCATTTCCAAAAGACCTTGGATAAAGTGAGTGGGGTGAAACAGGAAATGTGCTTCAACTGTCCCCAGAATAATACTAACAATATAAGAGCTAACATTTACGGGGCATTTATTATGTGTCAGACACTGAGCTAAGTGCTTTACATGGGTCATTTAATTCAATCCTTATGATGGCCCTCTGAGGAAGGAATTCCCATTTTGTTGATGAGGGAAGTGAGGCTAGTTTGTGGCACAGCCGGCACTCAAACCTACATCTGGTTCCAGAGCGTGGGCTTTTACAAGCCACCCTATATTGCTTGTGAATAAGACCCCTCTCATCTAGAAATCCCATGCAGTAAAAAAGAAAGAGGGCTCTGAAGTAGTAAGACATGGGGTGGGTCCCAGCCCTGCCACCGGTTAGTTCTATGACCACAGGCCCACCATCAGTTAGCTCCATGACACTGGGTCTGCCACCAGTTAGCTCCATGGCCATGGATGGGCCCACCCCTGGTGAGCTCCATGACCATGGGCCTGCCACTGCCTCTCCCTGGGCCCCGGGATCTTCATTTGTGAAACAAAAATGCTCACTTACCTCACCAAGTTAGACTGCCTGGGAAAGAAATGGCAACACTGTTAAAGCGACAGCTCACTGTCTAGCCTCCACTACACGATCATAGTTTACTTTATGGAGGAAAGAGACATACTCACAAGCATCTACGAGCCACACAACACACGCCTGGGCTAACAGAAGGCAGAGTGTGAAGGCCTCTAACAGACATGCGGAGCACATGAGCTTAAAGGGGAGGAGAAAGAACCTGGGCTGAGGGACCAGAAACACTGGGCTCAAACCCAGCTTTGCCACCTACCAGCTGTGTGACCCTGGGCAGGTCATCTGACTCTCTGAGTCTCGGTTCCCCTAAGTATAAAACAGAGATATTACCCTACCCTGTTGGGTTTGAGGTTAAATGACAGAAGGCTTCTAGGACAGAGCCTTGTGTGTAGGACGGGCTCCACATAGGACACTTCTCTTCCTTTCGCTGCCTAGGACTCTGATTTGCCCGTCCTCTTCCGTGTGGTTAATTCCTGCTGCTGATGGGGGCCTGGCTTGGGGTGTGGTCCCAGGGCTGTCCGGGAGCTCTCCTCTGCTCCCTGAAGGCCCTCCCCGCGCTGTGCGCTGACCTCTGTCTGGAGCAAGGTGCTGGGCCGCCCGCCCGCCATCCTACCTTCCTCGCAGCTCTCGCCCTTGTAGCCAGGGTTGCAGATGCAGGTGCCCATGATGCAGGTGCCGTGGTTGCTGCAGGCCACGTCGATACACTGGTTGGTGGGCACGTCGCACTCGGCGCCCTTCCAGCCGCTGTGGCACAGGCACCTGCCCTTCATGTACTGGCCGTTCCCACTGCACAGCACGGGGCAGGAGGCTGGGGAGACAGCACAGGAAGTCTGGCGTGAATCAGCACCCTGCACACCCCACCTGCCTTTGTCCCTTTCTCCCTTCGGCCTGCAGGCTTGACCAAGAGCCTCAAGTGCTTTGCTACAATTCCCATCTGTCCGTATCTCTTGCTTTGTTTCACTGTAATTTGAACACATCCGGAACTGTAGGCAAAGGTGTGCAGGGCAGGGCCTGGGGGAGCTAGTGCCCGGTGACCACCGCTTTCCTCCATCCCCGCATACTACTGGTGCAGCACGGTGGTCACCAGGACCCTTATGCAGGAAGCTTCCATCTGTTTCTTGGTCTTACCAGGAAAGACAGCGGCTAGGCCTCCCGCCTGACCCAGTCTCTCCTCCGGCACCCTCCTGACAGCATTCCATTTTGCTCCCTGACCCCCTACCTGCAGCACCACCTACTGTCTCTCCAACCCAGTCAATCTCAGCTTTTCTTGCCTTTCAGGCTCCACCTGAGCCCCACACACCCCACAAGAGAATAGCTGAGCCCAGCTTGGCTCTCTAAAGTATTATCTTTCCATTCTGCCTCTTAGCGTCAAGTGTTTTGTGATCATCTGTATGAAGGACACTATATAAAAACAAATTATACTGCATTGTGCTGTAAGTACCTACCAGCCTTACCAAGATGCAATAAGGCTGTTTTATATGTGACTCTTAACTTTAAGTGCATATGGGATGAGACAGTAATTCTTGTTAGAAGGAATGACTCATCTCTTCTCTCTGCACCACCCTCCGCTGGTCCCCACCTTGCTTCTTTCCTTTTTAAGGCACTGATCAGGTAATCACTGTGGTTCCTCAGGGCTGCAGCTCTGCTGTCTCAAACAGAGTGTCTTCCACATCAGGAAGGATAAGAAGAATCCCCCAAACAGCATCATGCTGTATTGTTATTTGTAGGGCACGGTGAAGAACCATCTCTGCCTTCCTCTGATGAACAACTATTCAAGCATCAGGTCCAGGTTCCAATGGCACCCCACCTGGGGGGCCTTTTCTGGTCCTTATGGCATCCAAGCTGAGACAGCTGATGGGTGCTCCCCAATTTAACCTTGCTCTAGCATGTTTTACTTACTAATGATGGCTTTGTCATCGTCTACTTACTCGTCTGTCTCCTCGACCAGACTGAGAGCTCCTGGGACTGGGGCTTGCTCAGTGCTCTAACCCCAGCACCTTGCACAGGAACAGGCCCTAGAGGGCATTAAGCAAATGCCTGCTGAATGAGTGAAGAGGTGGGAAGCCCAGAGGAAGGAGCCGTGTTAGTTTCCCCAGAGGACCGCCAAAGCCTCAGGACTACAGAGCTCCTTTGGCCTTTGCCACGTTTATTCTTCTGAGAACAGGAACAGAGGCCAAGTGCACAGGGTGTATCATGGGCAGCCTTTAAGCCATGTTAGTAGGGCTGTATGTGCCCAAGTATGAGGCAACATTAGGGTCCTGTGTGGAGAAAAGCATCCTTGCCTCCCGAGTCTCTCCCCTCGGTGGTCCCTGCAAAGAATCTGGCAACAATGGAGCACTAACGCAGGCCCTGCCACAAGGCCAGAGTGCACAGCAAAGAAAAGACACTTGGTGCGTGTTGACCATACTTCAATAATCAAAAAACAAGCGAAACAAGCCCTCCACCCCCCCCCCCAAAAAAAACCACCAAAGACACTTGGCAAAGGCTGATCACTCCTCAAAAGGGAAATCAACTTTTTTGAAAGACCCTCACTGTCACTTCCCCTGCCCCCGCAGCAGACGGGAGGTTCACTGTACCTGCCCTTGTAAAGGCTGGCCCTCCTGAGCTCTCCAGTCATGTCCTTGTGGACAATGGGGCTGATGTGGCCTTAGCTCTGCCGGCAGACCCCCTGCCCTTGGAGCTTCCAAAGAATGGCTCTGGGGGGTCCTTTTTGTGGGAGGCAGGAGGTGGTCTGGGGTCCTGCGCTTTCTCCGAGAAGCAGGATGTGAGCCCCCCACGGGGCCGAGGGAGCGGGCCTCACATGCACACACGCACACATAGGTCTCACCTCTGCCACAGTCGGGGCCCAGGAAGCCCAAGAAGCAGTGGCAGGTCCCAGAGATGCAGTCGCCGTTGCCATAGCAGTTGCTGGGGCAGTTATCCACCGACTCTGGAGGGGGAGAGAGGGAGAGAGTTGAAAAGAGAAACTTCTTCACCCAGACCGAGGGCCTGGGTATCAAAACCTCAGGTGAACCAGGGCCCACACGTTCTAGCTCTTCTGGCCCAGTCGCTGAAAAGAACCAACAGAGTTAAAAATGATGTGTGTCGGTTTTACTCTTATTGCATCTCAAATGACACTAAGAGTCGTGTTCTGGAAAACGTCTGCCGCCACCAAGTTTTTATATATCAAGTTTGTATCTACAAACACGTAAGAAATTCTTCAGCTGAAAACACTGGGGACAACAGTGCAAGCTGTTCGTGGTGCTTATCTGTGGATGCCGGGGTATCATCGGGAAGTCCTTGCAGTCTTCTTTATGCTTTGCTGTGCTTTACATTTTCCTCTTAAAGGGCTGATATTCCATTCACTTTCTTCTTCTTCTTTTTTTCATAAAGCTCCTGGCATTTGCAAACCTGTCTCTTCCCGTCTCAGATTGCTCACCTATCGGTCTGGGTGCACACTGTCTTCCCCAGGGCTAACACGACGGCCTCCTGGCTGGTCTCCTGTTTCCTCTCTTGCTCCCCACCCCACGCAGTCACCACCCAGCAGTCTGAGTGATCTCCGGAAAACCAATCTGATCCTGCCACTCTCCTATTTAAAACCCTTCAGAATGGCTTCCCATTTATTGAGACCAAAAAAAAAAAAAAAAAAAAAAAAAAAAAAAATGCAAGTTCTTTCAAAAGGCACAGGAGTTTTCTCTCGTACTCCCTCTGCCGTCCCTGCATCCCTGGCGTATGCTGTCATGCCCACCTTTTGCAGGGATATGATTTTCTCAAACTCTTCCTATTACTTTTTTTTTTTTTTTTTTAATTTTTTTTCAATGTTTTTTATTTATTTTTGGGACAGAGAGAGACAGAGCATGAACGGGGGAGGGGCAGAGAGAGAGGGAGACACAGAATCGGAAACAGGCTCCAGGCTCCGAGCCATCAGCCCAGAGCCCGACGCGGGGCTCGAACCCACGGACCGCGAGATCGGGACCTGGCTGAAGTCGGACGCTTAACAGACTGCGCCACCCAGGCGCCCCTTCCTATTACTTTTAGTATACTCTGTGTGACGTGACAAAGGAATATGGCATTTATTTCAGAAAGGTTTTAGCAAAAAAAAATAGTCAACGTTTTGTAGCATCAGGTAGTCCGGTCTTTTAACCTAGAAAATCTGTGTATTTGGAACAGCCTATTTCTCAATAATGCTGGATGTGGAATAAAGGAAAGAAGCCACTATATACTGAATATCTTCTTTGTGCCATGTATTTCCACAAAGTTCATCATTTCACTGTCACCAAATCTGCAAGCGTGTATTGTTATTCCTATTAAAAAAAGAAAAAAGAGGAGGCCCAGAGAAAGATGAAGTAACCTGCTGAGAACCACAAAGCCACTGAGTCCTGGAGGCAGGATTTGAACCCAGGACTCCAGGCCTGGTCTTCTTCAATGATACTGTGCTATCTGGGCCTTGAAGGAACTCACTCCACAGCAGGAGCCCGGGGGATGAATGAGGTGACGGATTTATGGCACAGCGAGGCCAGTCCTGAAGACAGCAAAGGATCCCCGCTAGAAGGCAGTAAACTCCAGAAATTTCAGGGCTTAAAGGGATCCAAGAGACCACAGCCTAATGCTCTCATTTAACACTGAAGGAAACTGAGACCCAGAGGAAGGGCAGTGACTCACCCAAGGGCTCAGAGTGAGTCAGAATAGAAAGCAGAGGAAGGGTAAGGTGGGACAGAGTTAAGGGTTTCAGCCTGTTGTCTTAGCTCACAGCTACAAGTCATGAAGCCAAGACTAAGGCCTCTGTTAAATGAGATGTTAGCCTAAAACACGTGAGTCTTGCCCACAGGAAATCTGCAGCCTAACTGGGAGAACGAGAGGACAGTTGTCACCCAGGTAGCAGTACAGGGCATGGAAGCAGCTTTGCCTGGAGGTACAGAGACCTCGTTCTGGGGTCCATTCTTCCAGTACCATGCTGGGGAGCCTAAAAAAACTTCCCTCCCCTCTCTGGGCCTCACCTCCTTCATATGTGAAATGCAGGTGAAGGCAGAGATGACCCCTAGCACTACCCCATGTTCTAAAATTTTATGAGTCTACAATTCATAAGAGGGCAACTGTGCAGAAAAGACGTCCAGACAAGGAACCCTTAAACGTGATAAAGCACTTAGGGCCAATGCAGTGGGAATTGATTGAACAAAACCAGGACAGGAAAGGCTTCCCAGAGGAGGTGGGCTTGAAGAATGACCCAAATATGGATAGGTTAGGGAAAAAGTTGGGGGATGGTGAGGAGCTCCTAGCGTGGTACATTTCCCAGACAGGTCTCTTCCCAACTGTTTGCCATTATTAACTTGCAAACTACTTAAAAACATTTGGCAAAAGAGTTCAAATGGGTAGTTCCTTTGGTGAATGGGTAGGAAATCCCATTCCCTCGATGTCCCCCTGCTAACAAGGGCAGTGCTAAGAACAAGAAGGTCCAGTCTGCCTAGACTCACTGCAGCACAAAGTAGTCCGGGTCCCAGCAGAGCGAGGCTCACAAGCCAGGGCCCTGGGCACCTCTGCTCTCTGTTGACTTTGCCTGGAAGAATCCACATTCCTACTGCCTTAAGGTTATAAGTGTCTTTAAAGAGAATGACTTGGAAACTTTCATTCTGAAGATGCTTTTAAAAAATAAGAATTGTGAGTAAAGTTTACAGCCAGATTATTTTCACCTGAAGCTACCAGTTGACAGTACAACGAGGGAGGGTGGGTTCCACCCATGGCACTGCAGGAGGGGCACAGGGCAGAAGCAGGAGGCCTGGCTTCCGGGTCCTGCTCTGCTACTGAATGGCCGTGGGACCTTGGCCGTGTCACTTGATCTTTCGGCACCTGTTTCCTCATCCTTCCACTTGTTCCTCTTTTGCTTCCCTGCATGGCAACTCCTAGTCCTTTCAAATCCAGCTCGAATGTCACCTCTCCTGACAAGCCTTCCTGATTTCTTGAAAAGGCTAAGTTACTCCCAGGACTGAAGGTAAGTTATTCACCCCTATTGAAACTCCACATAGTCTACGTTGTTGTTACCACTGAGAGAATTCAACCGGATGATCTCAGAGATCCCCCCAGCTTGAAAACTCTCTGGTTCAGTCCTTCTCAAACCCAGGGGTATAAAATATGCCTCTTAATAAACTGCCACAGTTACCAGTTGCATTTTTAAAAAGATCAATTGCAGATAAGTGTTACACACTGTCTAGATTTTGATTTATGAAGTCTGCGAGATACAAACCTGTTAATCATCTGCCAAAAAGCCTTCATAGTGAAACGGTGAGGAAAATACATTTTCCGTGACTGAGTATAGTGTTGTTTGCTGAATCTGACAGAATAGAAGCCTGTTTCCTTCAAAATTTGCCCCAGGCTGTTGGTGTCAGAGGAGGCAGAAGTTTTAAGAGACATGGAATAATTTTACGACAGCAACGAGGAAGTGGAAGGGAGACATTTAGAGAATATTTCCTTTGGACGAAATGTTTAGGTCTATAGTTTTTCTTCCACTTGGAAGGCTTTCAACTACTGGGGGTCCACCTGGGACCCCACAAATGAGTCTCCACTAACCAGATATCTCTATACTAAACATTAGGGCAGAAGTGACACTCATTGGCTCGGGAGAAGTGTGAACTTTATTGCATAAATGTTATGTTTCCAATTAGTGTTTGGTGAATTTCTTCCCCTTATAGTTCCTTCCTGCTTTGCTCATGTTCAAACTGCAGCTGCCTTCATTTAGCAGAAGGTGTACCTTTAGACTGCTCAGATCGGAATTAAAAATTCAGCTGCCTGTGAATAACCGACTTTCATAATCAGGGTGTATGGTATGTTGGAAAATGGGGGCCTTTTCCCCTCGCTTTTGTTTCTCTATCACAACAGCGGGTCCTGCTAGGAGATTTAATTTTCAGGAACTTGTTTTTCTTCCACAAATATTGGACTGTAAAGTTGAAGTGTTTCCTTAGCTCATTCTCTGGATGTGTGTTGTGAGTGGGTGTGTTCTCTGGATGTTGTACAAAATATTTTTCGAAATACAAAGGGGTGTCTGCAGGAGGAAGAGAAGGCAACGCTTCTTCCTAGAGGAGATGTGGAAACCACAGAAGCCTCAGTGAACCCATTACAGTGCCGCCCTTTGTCTGCTCACTACCCTTTTCCAGACCCAAATCATTAGCGTTGCTGCGTCAGGGTGAAAGAGGAGCAGAGTTGATAAATATGTCCTCCTGGTCTGGGGTTGATGTCCAGGAAAGCCTGACTTCATTTTCCACCTTCTGCTTTCCTTTTAAAAAAATTTTTTTTTTTTTTTTTTTTTTTTTTTTTTAACATTTACTGTTTGAGAGACAGAGAGAGACATAGCACGAGCCAGAGAGGGGCGGAGAAAGAAGGAGTCACAGATTCCGAAGCGGGCTCCAGGATCTGAGCTGTCAGCACAGAGCCTGATGCAGAGCTTGAGCTCACGAACCATGAGATCATGACCTGAGCTGAAGTTGGACATTTAGCTGACTGAGCCACTCAGGCGCCCTTCTGCTTTCCTTTTTTGCGATCCCAAAGCCTCCTTTTGTAGGAAACAGGGAGAAACCACAGAGGAAATCCCACCAGGGAGAGGAATACTAGTTCACAGGGGCAGTCACACCAGAGGAGGAAAGGAGGCCTTTCTCCTCCACGAGCCCACCAGGGCGTGAGCGCACCTGCTTCAGGCCCTGGTCCGGTCAGGCAAACCTCCATGGTCACGGGAGCCTGCTTATGGATTCCAGCAGCAAAGACAGACAGAATCTGCTGTGAGTGAGGCTGGAGCTCACTGGCCATCCTCAGTCCCTCTTCTCTGCTCATCCAGTATGTATCCCTCGCTCCCAGCCCCTCCTCTGTCTCTTGGTCCCCTGTGATGTGTTCAGCCAACAGAAGCAACTCCTTCCACTGCTTCTCTCATCTCTCCTTAAGTTGTAAGTGTGCACGTCGGCATTTCTT